TTCCAAAGACTGGGCTCATTCCACACACCTGTGCTCCTAGTTCCAGCTTCCTGCCAGCATAGACCCTGGGAGGCACTAGGTGATAGTTTAATTTTGGTGGGTTCTTGCCAATCGCTTGGGAAATGTGAATTAGTTTTCTGGCTCCTGCTTTTACACCATAGCTCCCTTCCTGCTGGGTCTCTATTCCAGGCATTTGCGGATTGAGATAACAGATGGGAGCTTTCTCAAGCACTCTGTCACTCAAATTGCAAGATTCAACTGTGGCATAATGAAGCCGACAGTGCCTTAAAAGGGAGCATCCAAACAGCAATCCCAGGTGTCATTTTAAGTGAGAGCATTTCATGGTGCACCACATAGAAGGCTACCTTACAGGCCCAGCATGGTAGCATATTAGCTAAAGTTCTTGCCTTGCATGCTCCAGGATCCCATATGAGCACCATTTAGCCTGGCTGCTACACTTCTCATCCAGTTCTCTTCGGGACCTGGGAACGCAGTCAAGGATGGCTCAAGTCTTGGGACCCTACACCCATGTGAGACTGCAAACTAGCTGCTGGCTTTGGTTTGGCTCAGCTCCATCCACTGAGGCCACCTGGGGAGTGAACCAGCAGATGAAAGATCTTCCTCCACCCTCTGTAAATCTGACTTTTCAGTAACACTTTGTAAAGACTACCATGAAACCCTTATTCACTTCTGTCCCTTTGATCATCTCCATCATCATGCTATCTAGCAGCACCACACTGAATCAACATAATAATTACAAATCCTGGACAACCTTGTCATGTTATCTAGTTAGTATCTATTTTGCAAGTGAAGACTATTTTCAACCTCTGATGTTTACATCATTGCAGAAATCTGGGTTTGGGATTTCATTCTCTTCAACACATTTTCATTTTTATCAAGATGATGCATGTGAAATATAACATCTGTGGTCCAAGTCCCCCTATCCACTGATTAGTGTTATAATCTAACTGGAACATCAAGTTTATATTTCCCATGACAATGTTTTGTAGGTATAGGGATTTCCCCTTGCATCTCCTTGTTTTCCCTCCCTACTCATCCCCCTGCATTATTTACCCCAGATAACTATAGTGGTATAGTCCTTTAGCAATAGTCCCAAATCCATCATTCTACTTAAATATATTGTGACATTGTAGGTATCAGCAATGGTAGAAGGTCCAGTAACCTGTCAAGCATTATTTGTAAGCTTTAGTGGGAGTCCTATGCAGGAACAGACAGGCCTACTGTCATGTATCTTCCCAGTATACTAGTCTTGTATACAGTTGATTTGTGAGAATATACGCAAGTGCATGGTTACCTATGTCTACTGATCTTGTACCTTGCATGAGATTGCCTTTTATCAGAGCTGGGATACAGTTCTTTGGGGATTGAGTTAAAATTTTCATGCAGCCTTCAGACAATAAGTTTCCAATAGACATGAGGACTCTTCCCACTTCATATCCTACACAGTATCTTTTCCCCAGTCTTTACCTAGTTCAAATACTAGTATTTGCTTGAGATTTCAGAACATTAAGCTGAACTTGTCTTTTGACATCTCTGGAGGGTATTTAATTATGTCTGGACAAATGGGGAATTTTAGTGAGATTTTTTTTTTTAAATGCAGGCATGAGTATTTCTTCAAAAGGTTTCTAGGAAATGCATTCAAATACTATAGGTAAGCACCTTTGATTGGGAAAGCATTTTTTCAGAGTACTGAGAAACAGGCAGGATAGAGTTAGGCAAACTGAGCTTAACTCAGAATCAAGTTTGGGCATGTGGGTGAATTCCTGGGGTAGGATGGTTTGTCTGAACCCCCGCCCAGCTTACTGTTCTGAACATAAAACTGAGTTCATAAGCATTATATACAATGGACTTATTTAAATCCAGTTATCCCAGTAGTTATTCCTGGCAGAGAATGGAGGTTAGTTACAGGAAAAGATAAGAGCAAAAAAAGAGGAAGAAAGAAATGACTTTAATTTTAGTCTCCATATGATGATAAATCTGCTTTACCAGTTGTTCAAAACCAGGGCATGCCTCAAATGAGACAATTGCTTTTTGAAGTGATAGCCTTAAATTATACAAGACTAATTTTGCATTCTTTTACAGACAATAGTCAAGAGCGATTCGTTTTTTATTCCTCTAGCAGCTTTAGCAGTCATATGCAAGCAGCACTGAAGACTTATCCAAGGCTCCTCCTAGGTATTTAACCGAGGAATGGCCTTTTCCTGTGGAATTTTGGCAGAGTCCACCCTACAAATTCTGCGGCATTTAATTAACTGGAGACCACTCTCAAGTACACTTAATTATAGGTCAGTATTCTGTCTACATAAATCATGGAAAAGGAAAGGAAATGACACAAAAGCCCTAGACTAATATAATTTATAGCTATCTGAACTAACACAGGGAAAGAATGGTACTGTGCTATAATTAAAGATTACGTTAGTGCCAAAAATCATAATTTTCTGCTTGGCTTTAAAAGCAAATGTCATGTTAATGACAGTTAACTTTTGATTATGCAGAGATGATTATATATAGTTTGTGGATTATCTATGCCCTCATTTTCTTCTTTTCTCTCATGTTGCTTTATTGCTAATTAATCCCTCTATCAGAATTCTGATTAAGGAAAGGAAGAGAAGTAGAAAATCAAATTAGTCATTTGGGCTGATTGTTAGCTGCCTCACTTAAGACACTGGGTTAGGCTAATACACAAAACGCCTTTCTGAATCAATCTTTTCCGTGACTGTAACTATGAAGATCAACTCAAGCATCTTCAGAGCATAGAACAGATTTAAGAGGATTGGTCTGTTTTTATTTGTTTAAGTGAACCAAAACCCTAACAGTTAAGTTTCAGTGAACTCAATGCATTCATCTATAAAACCAATAGAGCCTTAGAAATAATTCTGCACTGACAGGGTTTGAAATCTTAAGACTATTTGTAAAGCTTGCGTAGTCCTGTTATGTTCCATTGGAGTGGAAACCATGAACAGGGTGCAAATGCCTACCATTCAAGCAAATTCTAAGGGCTGTCCAGAATACAACGTTGGGAGTCGCAGATATTAATGTATATATTGGACCCCAGCTAGCTCCACTGTTTCCTAACACTCAAGTTTTCAGACCTTCATATTCCCTCCAATTTTGCCATTTACATGCTAATAAATCCTCTAACGTGTATCTTTTGTTTAGTAGTGTTTCAGAGAAGATTCAGAGTAGAAACCATGACCCATTACATGGAGCTGCAACATGCCTGCAAGTGCTAGCTAGTAACCTGCGTGTCATTGCCATTCTGTCCTGATTACATCATATTAGAGTAATCATGTAGGAAAGTGAAAATAAACAACCCAACCAATTTTTGAATGGTAACAAGATTCCCTCATCCTGCCAGGCCTCTTTGAAAACACATTCCCATCACAAGTTGCCGCAAACATATGGCAACACATTCTACATCCTAGGCATTGTGAGAAATCAGCACCAATCTCATTTTCCAGTATCTGCCTATGGAATCGCGGATGTCAATGTTTCAAAACATGAACAGATTTCTGAAATTAAACTCCCGTCTGCTGTGAAATCAGAACTGACTACAGTATGAGCAAGGGTTGAAGTGACACAGAAGACACCAAGCTACACAGAGTGAACAGAATAGCCTATCAGCTTTGTGCAGGTTGCTGCGACTTGGCACTTTTTACTAAGAGACTTGTCTGTGTGTTTGAGGTTACAGACCTACAGCTTAGCAGCAATAAGGCATTTAACTCCTGGAACCCAGTGGGAATTGTCTGTAGACCTAAGACGACACATTGCCCCTTTGTCCTATTGTAATACAGGAATCTTAAAATCTGCAACAGACCAAAGTGTCTTGTTGATTCACTCAGCTGGCTGAAGCCCATTATTGATATTTACAGAAAAAAAAACAATAAGCAATCATTTTTCTCTGGAAAATATACGCTAATGTAGCTATGGTCCAAAAGATACCTTACCCAGTATGACAATACCACATGATACAGCTTTGTGAACACTTCAGGTCTGTAGGGTGCTTTTGGAATTACCAAGCTACTTGTCATATCCCTACTATAATTCGGTTCTCCAAGATACCATTAAGTGTGCCAATTTGCTTTCTGCTGCTTGATAAATCTTGGTTGTCATTCAGACGCTAAATTCATTTTATATTTTATGAAAGCTTACTTTCTAGTGCAGTAAATGCTTTAGTAAACAAAAAAGCATATTTGGGGATGGAGATACAGGAATATGGCCACATGTTTGACAGTAAAAGTAGTATCATAGCAATACATACTCTTTACTAAAGCAATCAAGATCCATGAATGCTAAACGTAATTGTGATGTAAGCATTGTGAAATTAGCTAACTCGTGTCTACCACAGGACACACGTTTCTATCAGGGATTAGAGATGGGACTTCATTTATTGACCAACCAACTTCTAAGGGTGTGAGGAATCACCCCTGGTTTTCTGCTTGGCCTATGTGGGAGGCCAGAGGCACATGGCACACTGAGGGAACCGCTGGCTATAGTTTTGGCTAACCAAGATCTCAACCTGACCTATTCACTGGCCATATAGGCAAGGGTGGTGTATTGCATCCTAATCTCTCCTCTGTGCTTGAATGAGCTCTTGTGGGACTTCCTTGACAAGCAATTATGAGAAGTCAGGTTCAGGCCGGGCTACCTGGTATACATGACCCACATCCTACCTGCCAGCCATGAGGGTTGAACATGACACCTAAGACATGACTGGAGGGTTTAGTGAGATGTGCCTTCTAGCCAATTCCAGTAGCATTAGGTGAGAGGAATGTCTCCCTGCTGCCATCCCATTTCTTAGTCTGTAATGCATGACAATAAATGAATACACTTGGTTAGACCTTCTCCAGTGGTTCTTGTTGCTAGAGACACTGTTGCCTCACCCTCTTGGTGTTCATGGCAGCCTGGTGGTCAAAATCATGCAAGTAAAATTCCTAGTATGCTTCAAGAAAGTTCAGCTAATGAGCAAGTAAAGACAAAATAAATTCAAAAGTCTTTCGAGCCAGGCCACAATAAGCTAGGAACTTTTGCACCTCTCACCTGGAATGGAAACCAACTGGCTAACAAGGGACCTTAACACTGGATTTTTCGTCTTTGGAGAAGCCACCTTGAAACAATACTGCTTTTTCCCTTCTCTGGTGACCAAAACCCAGCATGTAGCTTCATTTCACAAGCCAGATGAATACACAAAACTCAAACATTCTTTCAACAATGGCGAAAGTCCTTTTCCACTCTGCTTCAAGGGAGTTTCACTAAGATGCACCAAATGTTTAATGAATGGATTTTGCATCAAGTATATTCTTTATATAGTAAGACTATCCTGGTTTTATTTCAAGAATGTTTTCATACCTTAACTAAAAGTTATGTGATTACCTTATTGGAATATGTAGTTGTATATAAATCCAGTTTTAGCCATGTATAGTTTATAATGAACAGTTTCTATCTAATGTTTGATACCATCTTCGATACCACAATGTATCTTGTAATGCTAAGATTACTGAATACTGAAAACATTCCAATGCTTTTGCCTTATTTCTCCAATATAAGAAACACAGTCCTTGCATTGTGGCATAGTAGGCAGAAATCACTGCCTGTAAATGCAGCAACCTGCTTGGGTGCCTATTTGAGTTCCAGATGCTTCACTTCTGCTATGGCTCCAACTAATGGTCTGGGAAAAGCAGCCTAAGATTACCTAAGTACTCGGGTCTTGTCACCCATGAGGAAAAACCCATGCGAGCGTCCTGATGTCAGGTTTGGGCCTGGCCTACCCATGGCCACTGAGGCCACAGGGGAAATCAACCAGTGAATGAAAGTCACTTTCCTTATCCACCTTTCAAGAAGTTAATGGCTATAATTGCTATTTGTTGAAAGGTGTATTTGCTGGTCTTTGGATTGTCTATAGATTCCTGTTCCTGAAGATCTACCATCGACACATTGATTATAGAGTGTTCATGTCTAACCAAACACAGCCTCTCCTGGCTGGCTAAAATCCTGGTTTTTATTCTCTGGTCAAACTCACAACTGCAAGGCATCAGTCTCTGGAGAGCTTAATTAAACTAACATGCCTAAACACACTTTTAATTGACTTATGAAAACAGGCCTTATTTGTGTACAGAAACCACATTAAAGCTATATCTAAGTAAGGCTATAAAGTTTACATTTGATACATTTTCATGAAGATCAGCAACAAAAGAACAGTGACATATTGCTATTAGTGTTTTTCCTCCAATCAAAACCCAGTTTTTAAGATGCATTGCTTCAATCAGCGTTTACTAGAATTTGCTCATTTCCCACTATTTCTTTTGGAAACTGAAAGCACACATGGAAACAACCTCAACATATTCTTGCTCAATCCTGCTTCTTCCCAGAATAAACCTCAATCTTACATTTTGGAGAAGATTCCTTCCCACTTAAATAAGCTATCATTACATAAGGGAACCAGCAGTTCATTAGTAGACAATTATTTTTTTCTTCCATAGTCATTGCTTCTACAATCTGAGCAGGGTAGAGGAACACGTGAGAGAAATTAGCACTAAGATCAATTTAGTCAGTTGAACTCTTCTCAAAGTTTCAGTTAATTATAATATGATCTCATGAGGAGCATTGTTTTAATGTTGAGCAGTATTTTCCTGGCCGCAAGTCAGTTTATTAATTCATGGTCCCTTGTAGAGAACATATTCAATGCAATGTTTTGATTCTATACATTTAGTTCTTAAAAATATTTCTTTAGGAAAAGCATAAGCACATGGTCATGAAAAAGATGGCTTTGGGAGACTAAACAAATTTACTTTAACAGACGCTAAGAACACAAATTTAATGAACTCTGAGGTACTATCAATGATGTTAGTACCTCAACTAAAACACCTTGTATTTATTATGGACTTGAACATTGTTATGTTGGTCAATGCAAGACCCCTTCACATGCCTGTCATTTTTATGTTAAGATTTTTATATTAATTACATTGCATTATGTGATGCAGTTTCATAGGCTATGGGATTCCTCACACCCCTCCCTGTACCCGTCCCCCCATGGTGGATTCCTCCACCTAGTTGCAATATTACAGGAAAGAATCTTGACTGAAAATGCCTCACATTTCAACACAGGAGAACTGAAGGAAGAAAGCTCAACTAGCTTTAGGTTAGATATCTTTGAATGGTATGAGTTACTGCCTTCTTCCCTTCTATGCTTCCCCTCTAGATCACAAGAGGCTATCACTGTCAAGTTCAAGAGCCCAACTGTGAGACCCATCACTCGCACACAGTATTTAAGATGAATAACTTTGTCTCTCCAAACTAAAAAAGGTGGGGGGCATGATTTCTGTTCATGGCAATCACAGTTTCACATAGTCTAATTCTCATTTGGAGCCATGTCTTTCTATTAAGCTGAGCATAACTAGATCAAAGTTCTTCAACTTAAGTGCAAGAAGCAAATACATGGACAACATCCTGAAGGTAATAGGTAAGAGGCCGACCTGATACTTTCCAGCTTACCTAATGCAATTAAATGCCTCATTTTCACTGAAAAATGTCCTTACTGCATCCCTAGTATAGGCCGGTAGCACAGCTGCCCAGTGCAGCCTGGCAAACTCAATGTTCAAGTCCAAGCAGCACCCATTCACACTGCAGCCAACAGGAACTTTCTAGACTGTGAGGAAGACGTCTGCTGATCCTGTAGACCTAAGAGACATTTGTGGGACCTGCTCCGTTAGATCTGTCAGTTCTTTCCTCCTAAGGTCTGGATTATTTATACAAATGAGACAATTCCTTGGTGTTAGAATATTTTATTCATCTGTTGTCCTAACCATGAAAATAGTCAAAATAAGGTGGCAAACAGCCTTAAGTAGAACAGTCTTTACTGACTTGGCATGAGTAGAATCGTTGCTTTGTTTGGAGAACAGGACAATTTTAGGCAGCCAAGGTGATTGGGTACATGACTAAACATATGGCAAAACTGATAAAATTCAAATCCAGAAGGCATAGCACAATAGTTTAAAAAGTATCTGCTGAGGAATTAGACTACCTGGATTTGAATCTCTGATCTTGGACTTACAAGGTTTGTTGCCTTAATTATTTCAGCTTCAATATATAAGTTTCCTCCTCTTCACTGACACGTAGCTATTACATGATTGCTTTCTAAGGGTGGAATAAATATGGTAAACATGCAACATGTCTGGTACACAGGAGACAGTGTAAGATGTCTACTTGGAAGTCATGAACTTTTGACATGTGCCCAACATCAGTTATGTAAGATTGGAATCAACATACTAACTGCATGATGGGGCTCACAGCTAAGTAGTGTTCAAGGCACTACTGGTTCTTATTTAATGACGAATCAGTTACTTGAGTCTGGAATGTTCAGCTTTATGATGCTAGGTACAGCATATTTTTAATTTAAATTGCACTAAGATACAACACTAATGGTGGTGAGGTTTATGCCCCTGGATGCCTCCCCCTCTTAGCTGCTTTTTCATTTGGAATCATGAAAGTGTAAGACTCCTGCAACACAGCCCTCAAAGGATGGCTCTGTATTTTGCTGCAATTCAGACAGCTGTTGTGTTAATTTTATTCTGTACTTCCTCTTGTCATTGTTTTAGTGCACTGATTCTCCTTTCACTGCTGTATTTCATCATGTGAAAAAACCTGCTTGTTAATCCTAATTAAAATTTCTCAAAGTACATTTCAGATTTTAGTCAATAGTGCCTTCTAAATACATCTAGACTTTAGGTAATTAAACTACAATTCTCTTTCCCAAATCTTCAACCATCAGAAATGGGGCAGAGATAACATCACAGAACAGGCACAGTAAAACACATACCCTTTGGATTCTTTACAATCACTTACAATCTGACTTGCTAGGGACCTAAGAGCAGCATTGCCCTGGTAGCACAGAAATTCTATGCCACTGTCAGATAGCTGAAGTCAGGCACAATCTGGAAGCCCCAGTCCCTTTCTCAAAGGGCTAGGAAGAACTTAGAAATAGGGTAGGAGTAGAGGGGAGTGAATTGAGCTATTGTGGGTCTGGTTTGATTAACGTTTTCAGAACTAGCATGGTATTTTTCTGTAAATATATGGATTCAATGGATATTTGTTCTCCTTAAACAACTTAAGGCAGATACCAACTCACTCTTAGCTATTTTGTGATTGTTCCAAACTCATGAACTACAGCTCGAAATATTTCCTTCAGCAAGTATTTAGTGAAGACCAGTCACTTTTCTGCTTACTCTGAGAATGGCAATATCTTCCTATCATCTATTCTCAAGAATAGCTAGGGTAATGTACAGATGTAGAGATTTTACAATGCATTCTTACTTTGAGATCATTTATTGAAATATTAAGCATAAGACCCTGGGGTTCATGTTAGATTACCTTAGAAACCTATTCTCACTATTGCTCTCAGAACAGTTAATGTTTTTCCAGATACAGATATTTGCTAATTAACTTACTTATACCACTATTAAAAATGGCCTTTTCACTGTATACAAGATAAAGCATCACATCCCTAATATTAATTCTTTCAGTCACTGTAATTTCCAATTTCAAGGTTTTCTAGTATGACTGCTGTATATAACCATAACGTTCGGCAACTGATGATTTGTGAAATGTTAGCATCCTGAAAAATAATTTGTTCATCTTCATTTATAAGTATATATATATTTCACATGTAATCCAAGAAACAGGATCATCCAAATAGAAATCCTCTACGGAAGACACACTCAAGCATTTGGTGGGGAGTAGGAAAATCAGCTCCAAATATCAATAGGATATGCAGACCTTACAGGGCTCTTATCTGGAAATGGTTAAGTTTACACGGAGCTATTACTTTGCTTAAAGAGCTGAAAAACCACTATCAAGAAATAACTTAGAGATTATGCATGAACTTAAAATTGCGAATACTGCCTCAGTTGTAATCCAGTCTTAACTGACTTAACTTTCAATGCTATGTTATTGAAATCCACCCACAATGGTTCTTCAATTTGGAACCAACTCTGAGTGTTCTTTCCTTAGTTGAGCCCTTCTTAGACTAGATCGGCACTCAAAGAATCACAGAACTGAATTAGTCCCTCTGAAACACTGATTCATACTACAGGCAGTGTATATTCCACAAGTACCTTCTGTTTCTAATGCTCTCCACTATTATCCATCTCAACCTTACTCACTAGATTGTTACAGTTGTGCTATTGCTATGCCTTATTTTTGCTCAGAGACTCAGAATGAGGATCCTGTAAATCAAAGCCCTTAAACATGCTCAACACCACATCCCATCGATGTCTAGCATTTGCAACTATCCAGAATGATTATACTTGGCAACGAAGTGTTCTCAGGTCACCTACTGTCCACTTTGTCTAGGAACATACACATTGCTAATTTCAAAGGATCCAAGTGGGCACAAACTTCAAGGATATGTTACTGTAAAACCAAAGTAAATTGCAGCTGGTAATCAAAGCCTGCGTGAGACAGGGCCACAGATGACAAAGTCAAGAGAGACTGATCGATCCTCGACCTTAGGAGCTCCTAAGGTTTCAAACAAGCAAGCGTCAGGCAGAGATCTCTCCAACAACCTGCAGCATGTCACATTGGAGGGGTTTCTAAACTATGTACCAGCTTGAAAATTTTTCATGAAGGAGAGTATTGAACATATGCGGACATACTAATTGTTTCTAAACAGTTTATGGCTGCTAACACTTAGTAGTTAACAAATACGGCATTTTTGGGTATTGAAGAGTCTTTAGTGTACCAGACGATGAAGTTGTGGGGATGTAGTTTTGTTTCATCTGTTAACGCGTGTAAGAGTAGGAAAAGGCAACTAAGAAGTTTGGCATCTGATTTTGTATTTATCTGTCAAAAAAAGGTGTTTGAGAACAAGGTATAGTTGCACTATAACCCTGGAGTAAGGTTCGATCACCTGAGGTGGTCAAATAGTGACTGATCTACAAATCTCAAAATATGCACTCATTCCTCTAACTTCTCCACAGCCTTCCAGGGAAAGGGTAGGGACTCTGCAAAGTTCACACAATTGGCGTGAGTACACAAGTTCCTCAAAGAGCTGCACCTCTAACCACAGCCCTGCAGCTCCTGCCCTATGAAATGTCATGCTATACTTTCTGAAAGTAGGACATTCATCTAATGTTCATATGCAATAGTGTATCAATGTGGAACAGTTACATGGTTTTATATACTGATCTACACAGCACTGTTGTCTAACATACTAGCCACAACAGTCTACAGAATGTAACTGCATCAAGAAACAGTTTCCAAGTTACATGCTACTGTTTCCAGAACTAAGCACCCATGTGGGCAGCAGTTAAAGATACAGCACACATCCATTTTCGCATGTTGTATTGGATAGCACTTGTACAGCCCACCTCCATTACACAGTCTCATTCCACTATCCTGTTCTAAGAATTTAGCAGTTCTTTGATACATCCACAAGGTGCGACTGGTTTCTCTCAAAGATGGAGCATAGGTGATACTGAATAAAAGGAACATAACTAAGGAGATCATGAACTCCTACCCAAGTGGAGAGTTTACAGCTGAGATTTGTGAAGGATAGACAGCTTCTTCATCACTGGGTGACCACTTCATGTATTTGAATAACTTGTGCAACTAAATGGCCCAGAGTTATTATGGAAGATGAAACTGTATGGCCCATTAATTTCTAAGATCTCATTCTTTCCAAGTACCTAAAATATCTATGATCGTATAACCATCTTGTCCATTACTCCTACTCAAAACTCCTTGTTAGTCCTTTTAAGAAGGATTAAGCATTCATGACAAACTTAGACTGGTAGAGTGTAGCTGTAGATTTAGTCCAAGTTTCATAAGCTACTGAACTCCAGATTTGCTTAGCTTCCTTTTCTCATACATTTTGAGTAATTCTACATGGTTTGTCCAGGTGTCATTTGGATTAAACATGTTGATTTAACGAATATTTTAACTTGCCCTAAGGAAAAGGCCTGTAAAGTTAGTGCTGGAGATTACAGGGATCAATTCCTGTCCAGCAACTCAAGGCAAATTGTCAGCTGTGACTCTGCCTCTGCATGCTGCAGATTCAAAACAGACATGACAAAAGGAGCAAGAAAAAGGGAGTCTATATAAGGTTTTAAAATAACGATTCTATAATTATTGGTAGATCTCAATGGATTTAGTACATCACTAATTATACTGCATTACTGTCAAATGAGTTCTTTTAGCATGATTAATGTTATTATACCAAATCCCAAATTAATTCACAATGAGTATCTTAAAGTCTCAGCAATGCTTTCAAAGAAGGGGAAAATGACAAATTAAGCTGGGCCATTATATTGAAATACAGAGAGGTTTGCTATCTAAGCAGTTCAAGTATATTACTAGAATTAACCTATATATTTATGAAGCACCTTCTCATCTCAGTTTTCTGTAGAATTCCCAGCTGGGAAAATCATGTACTAAATATGAACAGCTCAAATACCCAGTCTCTTGACCTTTTACCCTTGGTCTTAACACTTCTATTATCTTTTGTTGTAACCTGCTTCAAGCTTTCCTTCTAGACATCAGAATACAAATAAAGTATCTAAATACACATTTTCCTTGCTAACTTTAAGTTAGCAACTTAGATGTGTCAGGATCTGATTATCCTTAGACAACTTCAACATGAAGTTCAAGGCTTGACTACCTGAGGTGTCTTTTCCTAAGACTGCATATATGTTTTACTCAAATATGAACTGCCTGTCACAGCCCTCATGTCCTTTGATGCACCTGAGCTGACATGATTTTTGTACTTTGTTGTAAGGCACCATAACTGATTAAAGGAGTGAATTCTTTAAGTCGTGTTTATATGTCCCTGCTGACTGTATAAAATTTTGGATAAGGGAGTTCACATCTGTTAAGTTCAGTTTCCTCACATTTTAGGTAGAGCTCAATCAATACCTCCTTGTAAATATTGTCTCAGGTATTTGTAAGGAATGTAGTTAAGCATTGCTTTGACAGGGCTCAAATACTAGAAGCATCTTAGCTTTGGTTATTCCATCAACATGGAGAGTACAGAGGCCCAAACCCTACAGTACCACTATTACCTCTTCTAACACAAAATTCTAAGCACCAGATATACTCAGAAGGCATTTAGCAAGCATTAGCTCATGCAACTGCTATCTCTAAGCTGAGACAAGCAGCACTGGCAGAACCAAGGTTTGAGCCAAAGTTAAACCATTTTTCACCTTCGGCACAGAAGTATTTTGTGAAACAAACACAGTAATGATGTTCACACTTCACTTACGTGAAACTATTACCCTGGTGAAAAACTTTCTTCATACGATCACAGCATTCAGACCTAAACTCAGCAACACCAGCTTGTCAGAGATGCACAGGACAGGGCCATACTTTTCAGGCTGATAGTTGTGACTGAAGTAGACATGTGGGACAGGCAAGACATTAATGCATATGTAATCACCCGATCTGTAATGCCAGAAGTTTGTCAATCCCAGCAACATTATGCAATGTATCATTTCTCAGAATTACATCACGTACAAATAACTTTCTGGGTGCATATTTAGGAAACAAAGTACTTGAAGAAAACCAAGTAGTACTCTAGAAGATTTAGAACTTGGGAAAGACTTCTTGGAAAGCCACCAAAAATACAGGCAGGCAAACTCAAAATAAACCAATGAGAACATAACTAAAAAGCTCTGTCCAGTAAAGGAAACAGTGAAGCAGCAACCAACACTGGACAAAATCTTTGCACATTATACGACTGATAGAGGACTAATATCCAGGATATACAGAGCTTCAGAAAATGAACTGCAAAAAAAATGCTGTGAAAGGGTGAGAGAAGTGAATTTTTCTCAAAACAATTTCAAATGGCTGAGAGACATGAAAAAATGCTCAGGTTCCCTAGCTATCAGAGATACAAATGAAAACCACACTGATGTTCCACTTAACTTCGTGAGATTTGGCTTAATTAACAACTCCACTGATAACTTTATTCCCATATCCAAACTAGCAGGAGTTATCCTTCACCGCTGCTGTGTGTGTAGGCTATTACCACGAGTATGGCAGTCGTATGGAGTGCTGTAAGAAAACTGAAATTTGATCTGCCATGACCCAGCTATCCCAATTTTAGAAATACATCAAAAGGAAATGAAATCTGCATATGAGAAAAGGATCTATAATTCTGAATTTACAACAGCAAAATCTACAATAGCAAAGACATGGAAATAACTGATGCCTGTCCAAAGAAGCGTAGATTAAGAAAATACAGTACATCTACTCAATGGAATACTACTCAACCATTAAAAATGACATTGTTTAAATTGCAACCCAACCGTCCCAACTCTAGACCATTATGCTCCGTGAAGTCAATCCGTAGGGGACAAATGCATGTTCTCATAAAAGGCAACCTTCAAGAAAAATACAAGATCAATAGCCCTTTCAATACTGTTTTTTATACATCTCATGGGTTTTGAAATGTCTCCCAAGATTTTTCTTCCAGTTGATTCACTGACTCAGGTCACACAGTATCATTGTTTTCTTCTAGAAGGCTTAATTTTCTATGACACATGGGCCATTTAGTATGTTATGTATCATGTTAATTTCCTATTTATCCTCTTATTTTTACAGCATTTAAGGGAATGTATAGTAACTGTAATAGTTACTATAATATCCAGATGTGAATATATAATGCAGTATGCATCTGTTTCCAAATTAAAAATTGACTCCCAATGAAACTTAAATTTACCTTGACATAGGATGCTAGACACTCTGCTAGTGTCCATATGTACAATGTCAAACTACACTTTGAAGCAGAGTGATGGACGAATGACTGAAGGGCTATACTACTGTAATGGGGGGGGTGCAGGAAGTCAGTGGCAGGGAGGGATTTGGGAAGGAAGGAGAAAACCAATCTTAGCTTGTAACTGTATAATAAAAGAATCAGAATGCTCTTTCAGGTTACACCAATTGGAATGCTAGTCTCAGGTTTACGAATTCATTTCAAAACCAACAACTATCAGCCAGCAAAGCAGCAATTAGCTGGATCTGAAAGTAAGGGCTACCTGTGGAACAGACACACCCATCCTTGATCTGTTTGATATACTTGCGTTTCCATGTTGTCTGTACTATGTAAATATTGACTTAAGCAATGACTGTCACATTGGCAGTTAGACCAGCATGATGTGGATGTGATGTAATGCCTAAGACCTAATTATGTTAAACGATTTATCACTGCAATTGTTTCTATAGAGTCCTTTGGACCACCTTCCTAATCCTGATGCTTAACACCATCCAGTTTGAAGGGGATTTATATATTTATGCAACACTAACAATGACAAGTTCTTAACCATAGACAGAAATGGTCTGTGAGTCTGTGATGAAGACATAGAAATGGTTGTGACATAACCAGAAACAGAAGTTAACATAGACAGAACACACAATTTGTAGCTATGAAACAGATTTCCCATCCAGTGCAACTGCTAGTATGTGTTCTGATCAGGAAGAGGGAGGGTTAGGGGAGGAGGGCTGGGAAAGATGAGTGATTTCACTACAATGTTTTAAACTGATCAACATTATACAATTGAGAGCTGAAGCTGCAATGTTTGAGAGAATTCAGTGTGTCAATGTGTATGAGCCAAACTGCCATTATTCGAGTCTACTGAAGGAATCCGTTTGAAGATTTCATTTAATTGTTCTGAGCTATGACATTCTCTTAATGTACAATGGAAAGATGGCATTTGCTCTAGCAGCAGTATTAACGGATTACTTTTGGAAACTGGTCTTCACCAGGGATACAGGTTGGGTATTCATTACTTTTTAAACACGCCTCAGCATATTTATATGCAAACCTTGCTAGTTGCCAAATTACAGGAAGTGCCAGCAGGACTGCTTCAAGGCAGCACTTGGTTAGCCTAACTGACATTTGTCCTTAATTGCTTTTGCATTTTCCCAAGCTTTATCTGTTAGTATCTAGTCAAAATACCACAAGGAGTGCTGAAACCCACACATTTTGTAGGGAACACTTCAGACTTTAATGATAAAGCTGTGCACCACAAGGCATTAAATAAATAAAAGCATAGGCATAAGGAACTGCTTAAGGCAGGTCTTTGCATAGCATCATCGTTAAAATTAAAGGTGCTACTGAAGTGTATCCTGACAGTTTAGGCATGGACAATGGCATAGAGTTCAGCATCCTATTGTAAAGATACAGTCAAGTTTTGTTGGGAGTGCACTTTTGATTTGGAAGTAGAGATGCAGACTGCATTTCATCTTCACATGTGTGAGTCTACTACAACCCCTTAAGTGAAAAGCCATAAGCCAAAATCAGCAGAGAATAGGAAATGAACAATGACAACGTTAGATGGAAGAAAACATGTATCCCATCACTCTTTCATATACATCTTCATTCCCTCAACACAACTGCTGGGGTTGGACCAGGATAAAGCTCCTCATCAGCAACTCCAAGATCTCCCATGTGGGAGGCAGGGACCCTAGCTCCTGAAGCCTTCACCTGTTGTGCTCCAAAGTGTAATCAAAGTTAGATCGCAGAGGTGTAACTTGAACCTTGACAGCCTGTTGTGGGATGCAAGAACCCCAAGTAACAGCTCAACCTCAAGAGTGCCTCTATGCTCCTTTAAGTGCTTCACCGTTACATTCCAAGGACTTAGCTAAAACTGTGGTCATCTACTTCTCAGTTCAGCTTTCTGACATCAAGTATACACGGGCATGTGCAATGCTCCACCTGGTAGCTGCATCCACCATGAAAAGCCAAGCATCACACCACTTCAGGAAGCAGCCCAATAAACGTAGGCTGTAACAGAACAGACCATGCATCTGATTAACAGGCTGATGCCATCTTGGCACCCACATACTCACTTTCTAGTCACTTCACACCGAAGAGAAAGTACCGCATGTGCCAAATTCAGGCAATAACTTGCCTCCTTCTCCAAGCAGAGCAAGGCCATCTGACAACTGTTCTGCCTCTAATAATTTAATGTCTCAAAAAGTCTACAGTTTGCGTGGCAGTATGCTAAAGACCTGGGACATAGTCATCACCAATATGTCCCAGGAAAGCCCCTGGAACCTGCAAATAGTCCAAATATCAAACTTGGCTACTATGGATTATGCAAATAAGGAATATAAGAATCATAAAGCACTCCTCATCACATGTGCCTGAGCTGTAGCCTATCTATAGTCACACAAGAGTGGAGTGGGACAGAATGTGTGAAGACACTATCTCCTGTTTCTACTAATAGTGGAACAGTTGGTACCATAATGTTACCATGCCACCTGGGCCATGCCTTCCCCCAGGGGCTGTCCCACTTTCCACATCTGTGCCTGTACCTGTTGTACTGCATGAAGACGGACAAGCTGGCCTCACACAGCAGAGCTTCATTTCTCAGTAAATACTCTAAGACTTTATGAATCAATAGAGTGGGTAGCACCATAGTATTCCAGAATGAGCACACCCAACTGTCTTTAGTTACCTGTAGGCTTAAGGATAAATTTAGTCACTGACCTGATCATTAAAACCTGAGGATACCCATTTTTTCACAATCCTGTACCATTTTAAGGTGCAGTTTAATATTTACTTGTAATATTGCGGGCCAGCTTAATAGTACATTGATGACAAACTCAGATACATTCTGCTTTAAAGCCAAGTTTACCATTTTGTTTCCTAGTTCTTTTATATTTCAAAGACAGGGAGGAAGAAGGACAGTGAGAAATTAAAGACTTAAAAAGCAAAAGGAGTTTCCAACTGCTAGCTCAATCCAAGCGTTTACAACCAGCTGGCATCCAGATCAATTGGAAGCCAGTAGCCAACAGTCTCAAGCGTGGCAGAAACCCAACCGACTGAATCACACAGTGTACATCCTGAGAGGCAACGTCAGGAAGCTGGAACTGGAAGCAGAATCAAGATTCAGAAACTGACTGCTACAGGATGTTAGAGTCCCAAGTCACACCCTAATTGCTGCAAATGCTTGCCTCATGATCAACGATGAAAATTGATCCCTTATAACTGGTAACTCAGACTTGGATCAGCATTAGACAATAGCTAAACTACAAAGACATGCAGGGGGAATCAAGAACGATCCTGACAACCTCTTAACAGGAGGTCATGTGCAAAGACCAGGGCGGGGGACCCTAGAGTGGAACAGGAGGACAGGAGGGGGCTTGTATCCTAACCCTGCAGAATCCCGGATCCTCACCAAGGAATATCAGTATGGGCATCAAGGACTATATCCCAACAAAGAAAACACAGGGAATTGGAGTGCCCTCGGAGGCCAAGAACTCTGATGAATCAAGCAGGAGTGGATGACTACCACATGGGATGAAAGAAGTCCAAATCCTCCCTCACAGGATCCAAGAACATCAGAGCAACAGCCAAGAGCCCTGAGCAGTCCACAGAAACAGATGAACAGTAAACTTCCTTCGGGACTAGGGAGGGGAGCCCTCTCTGGTCCTCACTTATTTCCAACTTCGGGTCCACACCCTCTGACAATGACCATCAGGATCGTTCCGGAAACCCCAAACAAATAACCAAACAAAAAATCTAGAATAGAGAACAACAAGGAAAGCCTACAATCAGACAGGAAACGGTCAGTGTGGATTCACTTATATCTTACTAAGTGGGACACAAAGATTAGTTACTCCTAACTAGGGCATTGAAGATTTCTCTGCACATGCCTCCTTAAAACTGTTCTGCACCTAAACTGTTGATATGTCTTGTTAGTTGTAAGCCAGTCTAGACTTCCCGGAAAAAAGCCAGGTTCAGCAAAATTATGCTTCAATGCTATAAAAAAATACTACAATGAAAATAGACACGAGACAGCTGAAAAGTACCCTATAGCCATTTTAAGGTGTATAGAACCTGGTTGTATATAAACTAAAATCAAAATGTCAATGAAGTAGTCACAGAATATGGTTAAGAACTTGCATTTTTTTTAACATATTGGTTACTCAATACTATGTCAACTAATTCCATGACGTTATAAATTGTTGCTGATGTCATGTTGGGGCTTTTAATTGATTGGGATGATACTCTGCAAGCTTTACCTGCAGACCAGAGATGGTCTCCCCAAGAAGCCGTTGAACTTCTCTGGACAATAAGATACTGGACTCTGTTTGGTAAATGCTTGCAATGAAAGAATCTCAACTGAATTTGAACTGTGGCAATGCAGCAAGGTGGAGGAATCCACCATAGAGAGGGTTTGGGGAGGGAAGGGGGGAATCCCAGTACCTATAAAACTGTCACATAATGCAATGCAATTAATAAAATCAAATTTAATAAAATCTTTCAGAAAACAAAATTGATCCTTTACCCATTGTTTATGTCCGATGCAGTTGATTTTGTAGATGCTTCCTTACAGTATTAATTCCAATGATGTTCTAGGAAAAATTATGTGCAAACACTAACTGGAAGTGTTTCAGTCTGTCCTGGACTTCAGATTTTTACTGAATCGCTGTATTGATGATCTAGCATGTAGAGATGAATGTAGAACTTAATCATGTTCAGCCCTACAGTTAATTGTAAATACATATAAATTTCAGCACGAGAACAGTTTTAGTAAAAACAGTACTTGATAGATGCACTGTCACTTCCAAGAGCCAAGGCTGTTTTTTGAAGATGACATACCTATGAGGTGATTATACTTGCTATATTTCCATGTCACCTATGTAATTGAGAATTATGAAACATGCTTTAGAGAGAAATTAAAATCTTCAGAATCAAGTTCTAACTATCCTACCTTTAGGAAGGTTGTTGAAAGCAATCACACAACATTCACTTTATAAAACATGCCAGGTGTAACCTCATTTTACCATGTTCAAAGATTCTGATTCTGCTAAGTATTAAGTGTTCTCCAAGTGATGGGAGTTTACCATTCTGTGCTAGGTTTAGCCAATACAAGTCAGCTTTTCTACATTCAGACAGTACCTTCTTATAAGAGACCTCTTGGTTAGTAGTTACTACTAAGGGCTACCTCTGGTATGCTGAAACTCACCTTACACCTGAATTGTTCTGAAGGCTTCAAATAATGAATACAACTTACCATTTTATGTTGCACCAGGTATTCCCCCCTCAAGTATAGTTTGTATTATTTCTATATGTTGTTGCAAACAGCATGAACCTTTCAAGAAAAACAGGCATGATCAAGTTCCTAGCTCATTTAGTAATTACAAACCAATCATCTTGAAACCAACACTGGAGCTCTCATACGCTAGTATAGACGCACGCTGCCTTTCTGCTTCATCACCCCTCATTGGTCCATCTCCAACAGTTCCTGGATCCATTAAGATGTTTCATCAGAGTGAATCGCAGAAATACTACGTCAGTATTTCATGAACATGCACCCAGTGAACTTCACTTATTGAAGTTCATTTATTGAAGCTTACTGGATGCATGTTCAAGTGCTTTAGATTTAGAAATGTCACCCGAACATTGCGATTTTACCATCTTAGGAGCTAATTATACATATTATATCTGCCAGTCTCGATGGTCATTCTTTCGTGCATCAGTGGAGTCCTTACCATTTCAGGGGATATTCAACTGGATGTGCTGACAACCCCAGGACGACTCAGACTTTCCACAAACACTCATCCCCCAGACAAATCCTTTGCCCCAGAACTCAGTTCATTTGTAGGGCCCTCCAATGCTATGCACACAAGAACCAAAATTAAACTTTTCCAGAATAAATGAGAATTAGGTACAACTTATGCTACACAATAGTTATATTTGGTCTGAAATCACATAGCCTAGGCTTGTATCTTTTCCAAATATGCAATCATAGCATTGTGGGTTTTAGCATCTAACTTATTCAAAGTTTAAAACATCCATTTGTGTGCTCTTGATTAAAAACTTTAAATACATGTTTTTGTTTTACAAACTGAATGGTCCTTTCAATTTCATTGTGTAGTCTTCTCATTAAGAATTCTAATTCTGTTATAGCAAGTGTTACAGCTGTGAACAACGCTGAATAGATTTCCTCCAAGAGAGAAGATGGTTTTATTCTAGAGATATTTTTAATTATTAAGCAGTTCAACTTAATTCATCATTAGTGCCTATAATGAAACACAATAAGGCAATTTGGAGGGAATGGAGCAGAGGTGCTGTAAAATAAAATCCAGTCGTAACATTTATCACAGCTTGCCGTACAGAAATTTATTCTGCTGGAAGCAATAGCTTTGCACGTAAAACCAGAGCTGTTAAAGAACTTATGTTGGCCCTGTAGCGGGAATCGGCTAGCAATGTACAATACCCAGTTAGCTTCCCTTCTGTGTGCACATTTCAGCTGTGCCTTCCTTGGCACTCTGTGGTAGGATCAACACCAAGTTTAGTTTCAGCCAGAATAGAGTGGCAGTGACAGAAGTCATCCTGAGATCACCCCCTCCAAAAAAAAAAAAAGACCATGAACACACACCTTCTCTCTTGACGCTGTTTTTGCATGGCTTTGATGGAGAAGCCCCAGCCTGTGACTTCTGGGGCAAGCAAAGGAACCTTTGACCCACTGAGTACAGAGAAGTGGCCAGGAGATCCCACGTGGGACTGGTGCTTGACTAATACTGCTCTTCCAAGGATTCCATTTAGTTACCAGTTGTAGGGATATATGGGTTATTTTAAGGCCGTACTATCAAATTCCTGCAAGTCAATTGATGTGATACAATGTTGCCTAATTCCACTGCCTAGTGATTCATTCAAAGACACAGGCTATCTTGATGTGGAGACTTGGAGACTTCCTCATCTTTCTCACGTTATCCAAGGAGACTTCGCTATCTTCAAGTTTTAGTATGTACTACATGTAGAAACATGTAAAGTAGAAACATGTAAAGCCATGGACAAAATTCTTAGAACCAAATCAACCTCAAACCATCCTTTTATTGCAACAGCAAAAACAATTACTTCCTCCAGTGACAATTTGGCCCAAACTTGGCAAATCTGTAGACGGAAACTACCAAGGTCATTGGATTAAAAACATAACAGATGAGCTCTGGTCAGAGCAGCTATGCAAGTGGAGGCGTTTTCAGGCAATACTAGAAAAACACAATTAACATCTTCAGGTCTCATGTATGTACTAGGAACTCATTTTGCTCAGCCACCACCACAGGGATCATCTAAACTCCAGGGTAAGAAAACCTGTGAGTCACAGATCCCCCATCCTCTAGCACCATTTGTTGCAGAGGGTTCAGTAATTTGAAAAAAAATTAAACTGCACTTCAGGAAAAAAAAACCCTGAGGTCTTAAGAGATCAGTGTGATTTTGAAAGTGCAGAAATCAACACCAACTGAGAACACTAGCTGTATGCCAGACATCTTCATACACCATCATAACCAAGGGGTCACGTCAGACCTCTGTGTACTGGTACCATGTAAGTGTCCCACCCGCAAGCTGAACTTGCCTTGAACTTCACAGCATTCCAGATTCTCCCTGCCACCTTCCTTTCCTTCCTGCTGTTCCTCGTCAGACTTGCATCACTTCATTTTCCTGAGTTTCCTTGGCTTACTCCTGGGCTGTTTCTCTTTGCTTCCATAGGAAATTCTTCTGATACCCTTTAGCAATAATTCTTTCTGTATCTGACATTCTGCATGTAAGCACTTCATACCCGATACAGTAAATGATTAGTAACATCAGCTGTACAGGAAGGTCCTGTGACAGTCTAAGACTGCTGCTAAAGGAAGTGAGCTTAGATTATTCTAGGAACAATGAGATGCTTCAAGAACAAGGGGGAAGCTTCAGGTGCTAATGGGGTTTCTTGGACTGGCATTGAAGCTATCTGCTGTCATACTGTCAAGTACACACTTTGCGCATGTTTTAGTTTTGTGACATTTCCAGAGACCCTGGGATTTCCCATATTACAATATAGTCCTTCAAAAAAATTTAAGTACATTTATTCTGCTGTTGAAGTGTATCCTAAGATTGTAGGTATAGAGAATGGCAGAATCTAGCATCCTAGTCCCAAAATATATTCAACAGTTTCACTGGGAGTCCATCTTTGATTTAGAAGTAGATATTGTGTGCAGCCTATCCCTTGAAGTGTGAAAACTGCAGGTCAAACAGGTAGAAATTAAGGTGATATAATGATCGGTGTGACTTCTCCCCCTAAATTAGCAACATTTACTGCTATGGCATGACCTGTCTGCTATGTAAGGCCTTAGCACTTATTTGT